TTTTGTTTTTTTTTAAAAGCTAAAGTTTTTCCAGTGGTCATGTATGGATGTGAGAGTTGGACCATAAAGAGGGCAGAGCATCGAAGAATTGATGCTTTTGAATTGTGTTGCTGGAGAAGACTCTTGAGAGTCCTTTGCACTGCAAGATCAAACCAGTCAATCCTAAAGGAAATCAACCTTGAATTTTCATTGGAAGAAGCTGAAGCTCCAACTGACCACCTGGTGTGAAGACCTGACTCGTTGGAAAAGATCCTAATGCTAGGAAAGATTGAAGGCAAAAGGATAAGGGGGTGACAGAGGATGATATGGCTAGATAGCATCACTGACTAAATGGACATGAATTTGAGCAAATTCCCAAAGACAATAGAGGACAGAGGAGCCTGGCATGTTGCAGTCCATGGGGTCACAAAGAGTCGGACATGACTTAGCAACTCAACAACAAAAAAGGAGAAAAATGTTTAATTGATTTAAGTCTTTAAAAAAAAACTTTCTTTTTAAATATTATGTAGAGCTATAAATTTCTCTCAAAGCACTGATTTAGCTGCATTTCACAAATTTTGATATATTGCATTCTTTAATCATCCATTTGGAAATACTTTCCAATTTTCTTTGTGATTTTTTTTATTTTGACGTGAACCATTATTTAAAGTGTTTATTGAATTTGTTATAATATTGCTTCGGTTTTATGTTTTGGTTTTTTGACCACAAGGCACGTGGAATCTTAGCTCCTTCACCAGGAATCGAACCTACACCCCTTGCATTGGAAGGCGAAGTACTAGCCAACAGACCACCAGGGAAGTCCCGTGACTTATTTTTTAACCAATAGATTACTTACTTACAAGTCTGTTTTCAAATTCTAAGTACTTTGTGCTTTTCCAGTCATAATGTCATTATTGATTTCTAATTCAATTCTATTGTGCTCAAAGAATATATTCTGTAAGAGCTGTGTTTTGAAATTTCTCAAGACCAGTTTTACAGCCCAGTATATTGTTTATCTTATTGACTACTCCATGTGCACTTGAAAATAATGGAATTCTTTGGTCATTGGATGTAACAAGGTATAAATGCAGCCTGAGTAAAAGTGGCTGGTGATATTATTCAAATTGACTATATACTTGCTGGCTTTTTTTGAATAGCTGCTCAATCTGTTACTGAGCCATGGTAGTTAAACTTGACTATTTTTTTTTAGCAAACTGTGAGGTATATGGGATCTTAATTCCCAAACCAGGGTTTGAACCTGTACACCCTGCAATGCGGGAGACCCAAGTTTGAACCCTGGGTCGGGAAGATCCCCTGGAGAAGGAAATGGCAACCTACTCCAGTACTCTTGTCTGGAAAATCCCATGGACAGAGGGGCCTGATGGGCTACAGTCCATGAGGTTACAAAGAGTCGGATACGACTGAGTCACTTCACTTCATTTCACCCTGCATTGGGAGCATGGAGTCTTAACCATTGGACCCCCAGGGAAGCCCCTAAATGTCTAATGTTCCACACTCATGTCATGAAGCCCCTCTTTTTCCATCTGCCATTAAGCAAACCTTGGAGTATGTCTTCAGTGTATTCATGTATATAAAGGTGCGCCTATACTTTTATTTTTTATTATTTTTTTAAACTGCTTTTTAAAATTTATGGCTGCACTGGGTCTTTGTTGCTGCACAGGCTTTTTCTCATTGCAGTGAGTGGGAGTTGCTCTCTGGTTGTGGTGAATGGGCTTCTCACTGCGGTGGTTTCTCTTGTAGCGGAGCAGGGGTTCTAGGGCCCTTGGGCTTCAGTAGTTGCAGCGGATGAACTTATGTACCCTGTGGCATGTGGAATCTTCCTGAAACGGGGGGTCAAACCTGTGTCCTATGCATTGTCAGGCGGATTCTCAACCACTGGACCACCAGGGAAGTCCTATAATTTTAATTTAAAATTTTGAGTGCTGGTACCTAAGTCATTTCTGATAAGCATTTAACTTACATCTGATACTGTGCTGTGCTTAGTCACTCAGTAGTGTCCAACTCTTTTTGATCCCATGGATTGCAGCCCGCCAGGCTCTTCCATCCATGGAATTCTCCAGGCCAGAATATCGGAGTGGGTAGCCGTTCCCTTCTCCAGGGGGTTGTCCCAACCCAAGGATCAAACCCAGGTCTCCCGCACTGCAGCGGATTCTTTACCGGACTGAATCACCAGGGAAGCCCACCTCCTATACTACAGTTCTCATAGGTGACAGTGTTTTATTTATACTTAGCTTCTGTGACTTTTGTCCGAAGAAAATTGATGCATTCTTGGATGAATCTGGAGCCACTCAGATGTTGAGGTCAGTGGAGGTGGGGCTCCAGGGTTTGACCAGGCGTGCATATGGTCAAAGAGCATGGTGCCCTACATCCATCAGGTACCACGGAAACTCCCTTTTCAGGAGTTTCCTGAAATTGATCTGTTTTCAGGCAGGGATCATACACTGACCCAGTCTGTCTGCTTACCTATCTTTATGTAGCTTCTTTGTTATTGCTGCTTATTTGGCCCCCAGAAAACTTAAGTCTACTCTTTTTGGATTTAGAATGGATCTACTTTGTATTAATATAATTAGCCCAAGGGTCAGGATGGGAGTCGACTCCTACCTAGTTCATCGTAAACTATGTATTTTCCTTTCTGCCTAATTTGAAATTGGTATACCAGAAAAAATTAAACTGGTGACTTTGTTCTTGTTTTGGCAAGTTTTCCATCATGTCTATAAAGCTCTAACCAAATTTCAACTCTCAGAGCTTCAATCAGGTAGAATGGACACTATGCCACTAAGCAAACATGTAGCAATTTAGGAACAAAATGTGCTTCAAGAGTAATTAGAGGGACTTCCCTCCTGGTCCAGTGGTTGAGAAACCACCTCCAAGGCAGGGGGCCTGGGTTTCATTCCTGGTCTGGGAAGATTCCACATGCCGTGGAACAACTAATCGTGTCAGCCACAACTGAGTCTGCAAATCTAAAACCTGTGCTCCAAAACAAGAGAAGCCACTGCAGTGAGAAGCCAGTGCGCCGCAACTAAACAGCAGCCCCACCTGCCACAAATAGAGAAAACTTGTGCTCAGCAACGATGATCTAATGCAGCCAAAAATGAATTAAAAAAAAAAAAAAGTCTCCACCTCCATTCCAGGGAACACAGGTTCCATTCTTGATTGGGAGCTAAGATCCCAAATGCCAGGCAGTGTGGCAAAAAAAAAAAAAAGTCATTAGATGCTTCTTACTATCATGAGCATCCTGTGAACTGCAAGTTAATGAATTGTGGAGTACAACCCGCAGGAAATCCTCCTTGATTCCAGGAAGATTCCAGCAGCTCACCTTTAACACCTAGAGGGTACACTGCAGTCTTATTTTCAAGGACTCACTTCTATCCCAAGTTCTTCTACAGAATGAGCACAGACTGCAATAGGCTATTTTTCCTGTCTCTTTTCTCTAAAGGAAAAGGCCTCAAATAATTGGCAAACTCCTGCAGAGTAGGGCACCAAATAACAAAAAGATGAATGGACTGGACTTAAAAATTAAAACTTTTATAGACTATCTTAACTGTTGTGGTCTGCATGTTTGTGTCCATCCAACTCATATGTTGAAATCCTAATGACCAATGTGATGACATTAGTTTGTTGGGTCCTTTGGGAGCTGATTAGGACACGAGGGTGGAGTGCTCACGAATGGGACTAGTGCATTTATAAAAAACAAAACAAAACCCACAGAACAACCTCTATGGAAAGCAATTTAGCCCAATCTACCAAAATTGCAAATATCCATACCCTTTGACCCATCAATCAACTCCATATTTAGCATATGTACTGGCATGTGTGTGACATGATACACTTACAGAGTTCTTTACTGCTGTACTTTTTTGTTGAAATGACAAAAAATGAGAAACATTTTAAATGCCAATCCATGAGGGGGATGGTTGGATCCATTGTGGTATCTACACTATGATGGAGAACCCCAAAAGAAGGAAGACTCTTCTTTAGTTACTAATATGGGGTATTGTCCAAGGCACATTGGGAAATGAGTAAAAGTAAGACATAGAAGAATTACTACCACATTAAAAAAAAAAAACAAACCCAAAACCTGCAAGAAAGCTCTCTTGCCCTTTCTGCTGTGAAAGAATACAAAAAGTTTGCAACCCCCAACTCCTACCCCCACCCAAAAAAGAAGTCTGCAAGATGGTCCTTGCCCTCACTTAACAAAACAGACCCCGGTTCAATTCCTGGGCCGGGAAGATCCTTCTGGAGAAGGGATAGGCTACCCACTCCACTATTCTGGCCTGGAGAATTCCATGGACAGTCCATGGGGTCGCAAAGAGTTGGACATGACTCAGCGACTTTCACTTTCAATGTGAAACAAACAACTCTAATTTCCCCTTCCCCAGTTCCTGGTAACCAACACTCTACTTTGCTTCTGTGAATTTGACTGCTTTAGATACCTCATACAAGTAGACTTACACAGTACTTGTCTCTCTGTGACTGGCTTATTTCACTTAATATCATGGCCTCGAGGTTCTTCCATGTATAAGGATATGCAGGATTTCTGTCCTTTTCCAGCCTGTATAATATTCCCTTGGGTGCATACTCTACATTGTGTTTATTCATTCACCCACTGCTGGACGTTTGTGTCGCTTCCACTTCTTGTCTCAATCTCATAATAAAAATGAAGATTTAAAATACAGGACCCCTTTCTCACTTCAGGTTGATAAAGATTAAACTCCTCACAATAAAATATTTTGGTGCTTAAAAAAAAAAAAAACTGGCACCCTTACACCTTGTTGGGTATTTAACTTTAGTCCAGTTCTTAACCACTTAACCGACAGGGCACAGTTCCAGTTTTAAAGATTCATTCAATTTTTAAAAAGTGATATCTGAATTTAATCTCTGAAACCGATCCAATTTCGGGGACTCAGTCTATCAATTAAATCACCAAACCCTGAACAATCCAGAAAGGGTAGCTTTCTTCGGCATAAGAAAAGTGTAAAGTACAGACAATTGACCGTCTGCTAGTTTCCAAGAATGGCTAGGATTTTAGCCAGAAAAGACTGGAACTGAACCGAAGCGAATCCAACAGGTTTCCGAGGCCGCTCGCGCCTGCGCAGTGAAGGCTCGCGGGAGGGCACCCCCCCCCCCGCCCCAAAACACACACCCCTCCCATCCCGCGCGGCCAAAAGCCCCGCCTCCTGCAGGCTCCTAGGTTTGGTCCAGCGCAGCGCTGCCTCGGGTGAGTGCGGCGCTGGGGAGGCGACGGACGCGGGCGCCGGGCAGCTCCTTGGGCTGGAGCGGAGGGAGCTGAGGGAGCAGGGCGGCCACTGCCGGAGGAAGAGGGACCCGGGGCGGGACCCATAGTTTCAGCGGTGCCGCCGCCACCGTAGCCCGGGATCACGGACACTGATGCTACTAGTGTCGTTGGTGCCGCTCTCTGGGAATCCAAAAGGACGGCGCGGTAAAGACCCAGAGCGTAGAGCCAGAGAGAGTGGGCTGAGGCCTTACCTGCAGCCCCGCCCCGAACGTCATCCCGCGGCTCAGAGGCGGGACTCAGGGCGGCTCCCTCGGCTTCTCTGTCTCACTTGTCCGGCTCTAGGGAAGGGCCTTCTGGCCCAGCCTCAGGTGGGACCACCCAGTTGAACCTTGGCCAGACTTCTGCAGTAAACACATTTGGGTCCCCCCACCCACCCCCGAGTTCCCCACAAAGGCACGTTTCAACCTGAATTGCATCTGGAATCTGGTGGCTTTGGGAGCTGTGGAAGGAGGCGATTCTGTCCATCAAGGTACCGCTTCAGCTCGCCATCTAACATGAATCCTGCCAGTTATCAATCTGCTGCCTCAGCTCCAAATTCATCCTTGAATTTGTCTTGAACCTGTCTTGTGATGCTCGGAATTCTCTATAAACTGTCTCGTTGGCGTGTTGAGCCAGTGGTTTTTTCAGAAGATGGTGCTAGGCGGATACTGTATAGGGAAGAGGGCTTCTGCCCGTCAGTGCCCATGTTGTCACTTGAGTCGTGTCTGATTTTTTGCGACCTCATGGACTGTAGCCCGCCAGGGTTCTCTGTCCATGGAATCTCCCAGGCAAGAATACTAGAGTGGGTTGTGATATCTTCCTCCAGGGGATCTTCCTGACCCAGTGATTGAACCCAGGTCTCCTGGATCTCCTGCAGGGGGCAGGCAGGTTCTTTACCCGCTGAACCACCACAGATCAACAGGGTAGATGACAGAACATCTGATGGTGTCCCAGCCCCAGCCATGCAGGCAGGATGCAAGCTCCCTCAGCCATCTCACAGCAACCCCCACCCCCGGCCCTGAGCAATCAGTCTTCACCAGGCTCCAGTCCTCTCACATCCTTTAAACACTCAGGTATCTGGCCCCCAGCTGTGGAGAGTTTGTCTCCTACTTGCCTGGGGAACGCACACCAGCGCTGGCCTGCACAATCCTCTGCTAGCAGGTGGATTGTGACTGTGCCTTTTCCAGTGAACTCTGAACCTCAGCTTCGGGGAGGTGGCCTCCCAAATTTGAACTTCCTTGGATACACTCCTTCAGCCCTGGGATACACTCCTTCAGCCCCGGGATACCATCCTGAGTTCTCTTACATCCTTTTTTCATTTGTTATCAAAGCTTTTTTTTTTTTTTTTAATTCAACTTTCCCTGTTTAAGTCAATGTGTGGTTTCAGTCTTCATGTTTTTTTTTTTAATTAACCAATTTATTTATGGCTGTGTTGGGTCTTCATTGCTACACAGCCTTTTGTCTAATTGCAGCAAGTGGGGGCTATTCTCTAGTTGCAGTGCACAGGCTTCCCATCGAGGTGGCTTCTCTTGTTGCAGAGCATGGGCTCTAGAACATAGGCTCAGTAGTTGTGGCACATGGGCTTTGTTGCTCCAAGGCATGTGGATCTTCCTCGATTGGGGATTGAACCTGCGTCTCCTGTATTGGCAATTGGATTCTTTACCACTGAGCTGCCAGGAAGCCCTTCTTTATGTTTTTAGTTGTAAAAGTTTTGGTCTTGATAAAAGTCAGCTTGATACACTTAGTAAAAATTCTGTGTCAAGCAGTGTGCTTGGCATAACAAGACAAGGTACTTGCTTTTTTGGAGCTTATTCTCTGCAGAGCATCACCAAATCCTCATGCACAAATAGACTCAGCATTGCAAAATTATGGGGCAGGATATTTCAAGCACAAGAGAAGTGACAAGAGCCTAAGAGATCATGAACTTGATGTATAGGAGAACTAGAAAGACCAGTGGGGCTAGACTTCAGTGAGCAAAGAGAGTACAAGAAATGAAGCTGAAGAAGCAAACTTTTTAGGTAAGGGAAGCAGAACTTAGTGTCGGGATAGTTATAAGAATGAATGAAAGCAGATAGAAAAGTTGCACCAGGGTAATAGGAATAAACTGGGACTTATGGTCACCCAGTTTACAGGCCATAGCAAAGGAGTCTGGATACTATTTTTTTCTTCCTTTCTTTTTTTTTTTTTACTGGTCAAACATTTCCATTTCATTTATTTATTTTGGCTGCACCGCTTGGCTTGTGGGATCTGTTCCCCAACCTGGGATCTAACCCAGGCCTCTGCAGTGAAAGCACCGAGGGAATCCAAACCACTAGACACCAAGGAATTCCACATCGCCACCACCACAAAAAAACCCCCAAAACCTCCGTTTTTATTTTTTGGGTGTATGGTATGTGGGGATCTTAGTTCCTCGACCAGGGATTGAATCCAAGAACATTGGAAGCTCCAAGTCTTAACCACCGGACCACCAGGAAAGTCCCTAGAAACCTCTTTTTTAAATTTAGCTTTCTGACTCTTAAGTGTTGTGCTTTTGCTTTTGACTTCAACACTTTCATGATTTTCTGCTCAAGAAGAAAATCCTTCTTGAGGATTTCTTGATCCTGCTTGATCCTGTCGAGAACACATTTGGCTCCCGTGGACCCACCATAGGTCCTGCTGACATGCTTTTTCATTTCAGATCACCTCATTAGATCTTCAGATCTCACAGCATGAGCCCCCTACCATCTGTAGGCTTTGATGCTTCCCCAACCTTCTTGTAATTCTATCACCAAGAGTCCCAGATAGCCTAGTTTTGTTAGAGGTTGTGTTGTAGGACAGCCAACTGTGTAGGTCGAACCCTGGGCCATTCTGAAATCCTCTAGATACCATCCCCTGAAGAGCCTGGATACTATTTTAAGCGTGACTACTTTAAGTGGAATTGGAAGGCTTTGAACCCTTGTTCTGATTTTTTAAATTATCTTTTGGCCACACCACGCAGCATATGGGATCTTTGTTCCCCAAGCTGGGATCAAACCCATGCCCACCTCTCCAGTGGAGGTGTGAATGCCTAACCACTGGACCACCAGTGAAGTCCCAAAATGATCTGATTTTAAAAGATCACTCTAGTCATGTGGAGAATGAATTATAAGGAAGCAAAGGTGGAAAAAAGGAGCTAAAGCAACCAGTATTGGAGAATATGATGCACTCATTGACGACCAGGTATTCCATCCTTTCATTCTACCCCTAACACACAGAGAACCACAGAATAAGGTTATGTTGGGAGCAAGGAAGGCTTTATGGAGCTCCTGCTTGGGCCTTGTAGAAATGAGAGTAGCCTTTCAGATATCTGTAGTAAATGAATGGAAACTGGGCAAGGGAGTTTCATAACTACATGAAGGAAAGCATCAAAATGTTGAGTGCCGTGCTCACGAGGCCCCTGCACTCTTCCCTTCCCACCGCCAAAAAAAGAAAAAAAAACAAAAAGAAAAAAAAAATGTTGAGTGCCCATCGTGGGTATGAGGTGTTTTCTTACATAAGTTAAGAAGTGTTGAATCAGAATGGACCTAGAGATGATCATACTAAGTGAAGTAAGTCAGACAGAGGAAGACAAATATGCCGCTTATATATATGACCTCAAAAAGAAAAAAGATACAAATGAGCTTATTTACAAAACAGAAACAGACTCACAGACTTGAAAGACAGATCTATGGTTAACCAAAGGGTAAACAACATGGGGGGGAAGGATAAATTAGGAGTTTGGGGTTAACATACACACACTACCATATATAAAATAATTAACAAGGATCTACTGTATAACACAGGGAACTCTACTCAGTATTCAGTAGTAACCTATATGGGAAAAGAATCTGAAAAAGAATGGATATATGTGTAACTGAATCACTTTGCTATACACCTGAAACTAACAACATGTAAATTAGCTGTTTTTGTTGTTTAGTCCCTAAGTCGTGTCCAACACTTTGCAAACCCCTGGACTGCAGCACGCCATGCTTTCCTGTCCTTCACTTATCTTCACAAAATCAGCTGTAGCTGAATGTAAAATAAAAATTAAAAAAAAACAAAACCCAGCAACAGTGAATCAAATGGAGAGGTAGCAGGGACCCTGCCCCTGGAGGGGTTAAGCCAGGATAGTAATTGATTGGAAGCTATTGAATTTTTCAGCAGTACAGTGATAGAAACATGTATGTGTTACATGTGTATACATATATATAGATGTGATATAAATGTATCTGTGTGATATATATACAATATACTTGCTCAATTGTGTCCAACTCTGTGATTCCATGGACTGTAGCCTACCAGGATCCTCTGTCCATGGGATTTCCAGGCAAAATACTTGAGTGGGTTGCTGTTTCCTACTCTAGGGAATATCTTCCCCTCCCAGGAATTGAAACTGTCTCTTACATCTCCTGCACCACAGGCAGGGTCTTCACTGCTGAGCCATTGGGAAAACATATAATACACATATATTATATGTGTATATATATGAATACCATGACATTAGTGTAGGATGAATTTCAGAGATCAAAGACTGAAGGAGAAAGGAAATAGAAAAGAGCATAAGAGAAAAATCAGAAAAATTCTCACCAGTGAAAGCAAGCAACATAATTTATTAAGTATGCAAGGCAATGCACTAAGGCTTTTCCATTTCATCTGCGCATAATAAATGAGTATGGCTATTTTCATTTGTACAAAACTCTTGTATAAGAAACTTATTTAGGTTACAACAAGTACTAAGCAGCCACACTGTGTTTAAAGCTGACTTGTTACAGAGGAAGGTCCCCCCACCCCCGCCCCCACACACACAAAAAACCAAGCCTGTGATGTTATATATGTACATTCAGAATTTTATTTCAAAGCAAAGAACCGTAGTAACAATAATAGAAAAAATCCGTTTGGAAATCATTCACAACCTGGTCACTGAGAACTGGGAAAAATTCCATGCTGCACCACTGCCAACCCACTGGTCTAAGGAGTCGGAGCAGAGGTGCAGTTGGAGGACAGTCCCCTGTCACGGCAAAGCCCTGTCCCAAGGCTTTGCAAGTTTTGTACCCAAAGCCTCAGCAACCAGAGGGAATGGTAAGAACTTAGAACCAAAATACTGTCATAGACAAGGGTTTGACTGAAGGGCTTGAAATATGTAAGCACCAAAGAGGGAAAGGGAGATCAAGTAACATATGAAGGAGGGATGAAGAGCCCAGTCTCCACTTCTAAAAATACTGGATGATCCTGGAGGTGGCCGTGGGCTGTGGCAAATGTAATCCCTCCATCTCAGCAAACCCTCTGGCCACCCCAGATCTAGAAGCTTATTGTCCCCTGAAGAATGCCTCCCTCTCCCGCACGACGCCCTTCCAGCACACCCAGGAGGCGTCATGTCCTGGTCTCACACTCTCTCCTGTCTTCTCCTGCTGTCTGAGTGGGGAGTGAGTCCTCCACTCTGTCTCAACATTTAGGGAGTTCTCTCTGTCCTCTCCAACAAGGAAAGGCAGCCAGATGAGATGGAACTCTGAAGTTTCAAAGAAAACCATTGATGCAGATTCCACCCAGCAGAGGCAGTTTTGTTTACATACACGAGTCTGAACACATTATACCCAATAGGAGCCTTAGGAACCTAACAAGATAACCAGCAACTGCTTCGTGACGGTGCACACACATTCACGCTCACGTGTGGGCCTTGCCGCATATCCACACAGACTGTCACGTGTGGTCTACAGAAAGTTCAAGTCCCTCAGGGGGCACCTGACATAACACTATGGCAACATGGTAACAAGGGTAACTTCACATGGTTACAGACATAAACAAGCATGAGATGACCCTCATGTAATAACACATGTCAACTGGATAACAATCGTTCAGGGAAAAAACCGTCTTCCAGCGCTGAGGTTACAAATTCCAAGTTAGCTATAAACATCTCTAAGTTCTTTTAAAGCTATGGCTTAAAGCAAAATAAAAATCAACATCGAAAATCCTCTAAACAACAAACTGAAGAAATAATGAACCTCTACCAAGAACCAAGATTTTTGGTTGCTCACTTGGGAGGCTCTCCCACCAGATGCGTGATAGGAATTTTTTTTTTTTTAAAGTGAGTTCACTACAGAGAAAGAAGCTGCTTGGTCCAGTGAGGGGAGAGAGGATTTGTAGAAATAACCATCCCTTCTCTGGACTCCATCCAAAATTAGAACCCATAAACCCCTATTAACTAAAATGCCCACCTTAGCAATAATCCTAGATTTCAAGTAATACTACATATAATCTTAAACGAAGAAAAAAGTTCCAAAGGAAACAAATAGCTTCTTTATATAGGCACATGACTTTTCTGAGAAAGTTGAGAGTTTTTATCTGAAGGATAGAAATTGTTAAGAGGCAATGTGCAAACCTCACACACCACATCATGCATTCTCCAATCATGCATGACCTTTCTCCCTAAATCTTTCCCTTCTTATTGCACCTTAACCTCTTCGGTATCCAATCTTCCACCCTATAACCTCTCTTGAAGCACCTCCCTCCAACTTCAATTTTCTTATGCTTTCATTATTTGGTAAAATTACTTTATATTTAAAAAAATAAATATTTATGCAATAAAACCAGAAGATAAAATAAATAAAACTCAAGTTAATTTGCTCAGCAGAGCTGTACGGAAGTGAAGAAGGAGCTCTTATGGAATCCCTCTCTGCCCTCCACTCTTAAGTGTACCTGCTTCCTGGTGAGTCTGAGGCTGGAGGAATGGCACCTTCTAGCCCATTCCCCAGAATGCCTTGAGGCAATTTTAGAACCTAAGGGAGCAGGAACTGGCCAAGTTGTCACATACCAAGCGGCCAATCCCTCCTGAAATGAAGGTAGGTTTACTTGGTCTCTCCTGAGCTGAAGAGAATGTCCAGAAATGAAAATTTTAAAAGCCATTGAAGACAACGACTAACCCCAGCCTTGGGATCCTCTGAGCGCCCATCGAGTATGTGGATGAGAAAGGAATGGAGTAGCAGCATTCAGAAACTGTCCTGGGTTACAACCTGATGAGGTCTCCCCACTTGCTCAGGGGGAGGTTGCTTTTCGTGACGGGAGGGAGGTGGGTAAGAGGCATGTCTTAGGCATTGGTGTCCTTCGTGGGCTGGATGCTGTTCATCTCCATGATGGGGCCTTTCTCACCGCGGGTTCCTGTCTGCACCTGCCCTTCAAAGGCTCGTGTGATTTCCTCAAAAGTCCTGCCACGGGTCTCAGGAACTTTGAAGAAGGTGAAGACCCAGAAGATAACGAGGAAGGCAGTGAAGACGATGAAAACGTAGGCACCTAAGTAGAACTGGTGAAGAGATACAGAACAGAAGAGTCAGTCAGTTCCCTCACAATCATATTTCCAATAGCCTTGAAGGCATAACCCGTCTAGACTTCATCAAAGCAGTGCGGTCTCTTCAGAGACTTGCTCATGATTTCATTGGTAACTTCCTAGATTTCTTTGCAATTTTGTGTCATTCCTTTTCCTAGTCATTAAAGTTAGCCATTTCCAAATACCTATTGAGTTTTTAGGACTTCTGATTAATATCATTATTTTCTTTCTTTATTTCTGGCTGCACCAGGTCTTCGCTGCTGTGGTTGGTCTTTCTCTAGTTGCTGTGAGTGAGGGCTACTCTTTTTTTTCTTTTTGAGAGCTACTCTTTAGTTTCAGTGTGTGGGCTTCTCTTATTGCGAAGCATGTGGCAGGTGAAGTCTTCCCAAACCAGGGATCAAACCCCTGTCTTCTGCTTTGGCAGGCGAATTCTTAACCAAAGGGCCACCAGAAAAGTCCTTTTGATTATTTTTTAAAATCTGGGTTTCTAAAAGATTCACAGAAATTGGAAATACATCCTATATGTCCACTGCTAGTTCCTTTATTTAACAAATCAACTCTAGGCCATTTTACAATAGGACCTACCTCATCATTAACATCCTATCCTCAGTCAGCCTTTTGGATCAGGCCATTAATGCTACACCAAATGATGGATTTTAAATATTGATTTGGAATCCTAAGGCCTATCATTGCCATTCTGTTCCTAAGCAGAACTATGTATTAGCTGGTTTCAACATGGGTTGGGTGAGTTTTAAGTTACTTACCGCGGCGGAGGGGAAGAGCAGTCCAACCAAAAAGTTGGAGGTCCAGTTGGAACAACCAGCCACTGCCATGGCAGCTGGGCGGGGTCCCTGGCCAAAGAGTTCAGCCACAATAAACCAGGGAATGGGGCCTGGGCCAATTTCAAAGAAGGCCACGAAGACCAGGATGGCCCCAATACAGATAAAGCTCATCCAGCTATAATGATCCTACAAGAAAGGAACAGAGGAAAGTTAGTATTAAAGACAGCATGACCAGGTAGGCGCCAGCTTGCCACAGATGAGGACTGATGGAATAATGAAAAGTTCCTTCTATCCCATGATATAAAGGAGTTATTGGACCTTGGGCTTTGTTGTTCTTGTTTTTGCTTTGGCTGCGCCATGCAGAATGTGGGATCTTAGTTTCTGGACCAGGGATTGAACCCTCACTCCCTGTGCTGGAAGGCAGATTGTTTTTTTTTTGGAAGGCAGATTCTTAACCACTGGACTGTCAAGGAAGTCCTAGCAGCCTTGGGTCTTGGAATCTTAGCAGTATGATCACACGTGTTATTCTGCACATTCTGAGACCATTTCATCAGCCATAAAACCAGATTAATGACCTTAATATCTCTTTAAGAATGAAATGAGACCATGTATTTTACAAGCTATATGTCATAGGGATGACAGCAATTTAATTATCTATCTCTGAAAATCCACTTTTCTTAAAATTCTGCGCATATTGCTTCTCCCAAAGTTCACTTGTATAATCACCAGACCCCGACGACCCACCCCCTCACCATTCCCCAATCCTCCCTTTCCTTTACAAAGAGTACTCACCTTTAGTAACAAAGAAATCGTCATGAGGATGGAACAAAAAGCCATCCCTCCAAGGCCAATCAGGTGTAGCGTCCTCCTCCCAGCCCTTTCCACCAAGAACACCTAAAAAATGATTTAGAAAAAGTACCCGTGAAACAATGTCACTTTCTTTTCTTCCAATGTCACTTTCTTTTTCATGAAGACACTACGAGCTACTGGAAGCTGCCTGACCAGCAGCAGGGTACCTGCGATAGTCATGCTGTCTCTCTTCTAACTCTGAGTCAAGAGCATCCTACACGGTCCCCTCTGTGCTCCCCTTTGCCCATCTGTTCATTCACCCATCATTCAATAGCTCTTTTCCCCCACAGGGAATTAGAACAAAAAAGGTCTAACTAAAAGGCAGCAGGGAGATGGAAGGACACGCCACCTATACTTGAATATGTGTAACAAGAATTCCCCACCCTGCTTGAAAATGATCAAAACATCTGACTTACAGACACCACGGTGAAGATGGTGTTGACCACACCTGCGCCGATAGTGGCATAGACCGGCTCCTGGACACCTGCATCTTTGAAGATTCCTGTCGAGTAGTAGAACACCTAACAGGGAACAAAAGGTGCAACTATGAAATACAGTTATGCATAGCAGCTGCACTGAACCCTCAAAAAATCAACTCAAAAGTCCCAGAAGTTCAGGAGTTCCTTCCAGCAATTTGTTGTTGTTGTTCAATCACGTTTTCTTTTCTGCAAACAAATGATCTTTTGTAATTTATTTTCTTCTTAGTTGTTTTCAATTCTAGCTACTTAGTTCCATTTCTTTTCCCTCCAGACTATGCTCTTTCTTCCTCCTCCATTTAGTCTCTTCCTCAAGTCTGCTTTAGTAACTTAGACAGAATGGCTTAAGTCCTGTTAAGTTTTTCAATTCTGCTTTACTGATAGACGCTTACCCCAACTGTCACCCCCACCGACAATGATAGGCATTGATGGATCAACTTGATAGTGAAGAAGGGTAACCTCAGCCTGCTTGTTTTTAGAACGTGGGCTGGAATTCCAGGCACTGGATCTTTGCAAGTGTGTTAGTAAATAACACCAGTGATGAAGTGCTGAATCTTAACCACTGGACTGCCAGGGAAAAGTTCTTCATCAGAGTTTTTGATCAACATACGCGTCCACATTGGGAGTGACTGTCTGCAGAAACAAGTCTTCAAAGCCCTACAGCCTAAGATAGAAACCATGTATATTTTCCAAAATAAGATTCAGGCTATGCTCTTGGAAACTGGGATAAGTAGGGTCATCCTCATTAAAAATTGCTGCTCTGGGAGAGAAGCAAGGGTGAGCTAATTAAAACTTGCTTTTTTTAAATTCCAAGAATATTTAATAACATAAAGCTTGTAAGGAAAGACATTTGAACAGTTAAAACTAGAGATGAATAATTATGCTAATTCTTTCTTATATAAAAGCACACATATCAAAAACCTAACTCAAACATACACACCTCAAGCAAACTTCTTATAATAAAGTCATGCTGCCTGGAACCTTGAAACCAGGTTACGCTCACCCTCACATCATTTTACCGAAAGCCGGTTTTACTTTGCTGGGTAAACACTGTCCAGCCTCTTACCCTTCTGCCTTAAGGGAGATTAAAAAACATCGTCTGTTCAAAGGTAGGTTGGAAAAGTGACTTTCACCCACCATTTACTGAAGTGGAGGAGGGAAGGGGGAAGGGTCCTGCCTGCAGAACATTCATCTATCATCTGTTAACTTTCCCAGGGTGGTCTTTCTCTGATCCTGTTCTGCACGGATCAGACTTGGGGGAGGCAAGCAGGTGCCTGGGGTGCAGAATTAAAGAAGGTGGCCTTCTTAGGACCGTCTTATACCTGGACACCTCCCTCTAGTCCCAGTCTGTTCTGGAAAGTCCTAAGTGTACATTTTATTACAGTGTTTTTTCAAATGAGGAAATTTGAGACTGAGATCCATCGGAACCACCCAAGAGGACTTTTCAGACTATCTTCCCTCCCAGGTTCTAATATAACAGCCTCTAATCCCTCAGGGGAAGCACAAACACAAGTTTCCTTGTGGTGCATTAGGGAGAGAGGCTAAGGACCAACTAAGTTATCATGTATTTTTTTGCAAAATTGCCTTGTCATAAAATGGTTTGATCACACTGATCATATTATGATGGCAAACCTCAGCTCATGAATTGGTACTTAGAGAGGTCTGGAGTGTTCTCCATATCCAAATATATCCAAATATTTTATCTGCAAAAGGACAGAGGTGTAGGAATACCTTCTCTGCTCACACCCAGGACTCAAAAGAAGGAACTAGACTTTTGCACAGAATACCATGGCTACCTGCCCGATGCTAGCTTCTGTTTGGCCCCACACGTTAAACAATCACAGTCACTAGTCTTAAGTTGTAAAAAATATGCACAATGGTAAGACCAGCTCTGTCTGGGTACCCACACACCTCCTAATTGCTCCCTAGGGCTTTGCATTGATTTCAGGTTGTAAAGTCCTGGGAAAAAAACCCCAAGGTGTGTCAATTCTCAGATCTGCTTGGATTACATGGCCTATGTTATCATTGATGACATCATCCAAGACAGATCAGAGTTAAAGAGAACTGGATATTTAAAAAATGAGTGGCTGGGAATTCCCTGGTGGTCCAGTGACCAGGACTTCGCAGTTTCACTGTGGTGCCTGGTAACTCCTCACTTCCAATGCAGGGGGCACGGGTTTGATCCCCTGTTGGAGAAGTAAGATCCTGCAAGCTGAGAGGCACAGTCAAAAAAGAAAAAAAGCAGTCCAAAACCGAGGATGAATAAAAATTAGATAAATTGTGATACTCCATAATGTTAAAAGAAATCTGGATGAGGACAAATGTTCACAACAAGTTCTAAGACTAAGGGGGAGAAATTTTTCATTCTCTCATCTTGCCACACAAACGTGTATTATAGACATAACTTTAGAAGATAAATACAAAGGCAAGTCTAAACCTGGATAATGTGCATTTTTTGAGAAACCAATACCAGGCAAACATTGTGAGAGACTCTGGGTATGTCAGAAGGTGAGCAGTGGCCAGTGCGATTTGCCTCTGGTTGGGTGTGTTGTTGTTTAGTCACTAAGTCATGTCCGAATCTTTGTGATGCCATGGACTGTAGCCCACCAGGCTCCTCTATCCATGGGATTTTCCAGGCAAGAATACTGGAGTGGGTTGCCACTTCCTCCTCCAGGGAATCTTCCTGACCCAGGGATCGAACCCTCATTTTCCTAAATTGGCAGGTGATTCTTCACCACTGAGTCCCAGGGAAGCTGGTCAGGTGATTCCAGTGAAATGTGTAGGACACATCTGCCCCGAATGGACACTTACCGCGTTGATCCCAGAGAGCTGCTGGGAGAGCTGGAGCATGATGGAGATAATGATGGGTTGCCGGTAGTTGGGGGCGCGGAAGAGCTCTAGCACTGTGACTTGCTTCTCCTGCGACATCCGCATACTCTCATCCTTCATCTCCTGGATGTCCTGAGCCACGTCCTCAGTGCCCCAGAGTTTCTGGAGGACTGGGGAAGAGGAGAGGTCATAGATAAGGTGCTGGCTAATGCCTTAAACCCATGAGACAGCTGGGAGACAGACACCTGTGTCTGGCCTTAACTTGTCTTCTCATCCCTCACCCCATGTGACTTCAGAGTAATCAGACAATTTTCTGCTCAGGTTTTAGAGGGCAGGGAAAGGAGATGACAAGAACCAGATCCAAAACCCTCATCTTAAAACAAACCACAGTCCTGAGGCTCCTATAGTGAAAGCATGAAGGATACTCACTCTCCTTTGCCTTCTCCTCCTCCTTTCTGTTAATGAGCAAGAATCTAGGACTTTCAGGGCAAAATGGAAGGGCAGCACACTGGATGATAGCTGGTAAGATGGTGAAGCCCAGGAGCAGAGGCCAGAGATCTTCAGTCCCCAAGATGACTTTTAGACCAAAGATCTAGAAACCAAAGACAATACTAAAAATTCCATACTTTATAGGCCATATGCTTAGTTGCTCAGTCATGTCTGACTCGTTGTGACCCTTTGGACTATGGCCCCCCAGGCTCCTCTATCCATGGAATTCTCCAGGCAAGAATACTGGAGTGGGTTGTCATTTCCTCCTCCAGGGGAGCTTCCCAATCCAGGGGTCAAACTGGAGTCTCCTGTGTCTCCTGCATTGCAGGTGGATTCTTTATCCACTGAGCCATCAGGGAAGCCACAAACTGATTAAAAAAAAAAAAAGTTCAGAAAATCATCTGGCCTTCTATCACAGGGAAAGATAGCGTTTTCTTTTTCTACCCTAAATGTTTCCTTAGCCATCTATGAGCTCTAATAATATTAATATCTGAAACATATGTAGTTGAATAAGTGCCAGACATTTTTTGTTTGTAAAAATTGAAGCATGGTTGATTTAAGTACCGATGTACAGCAAAGTGATTCAGTTATACATATATATATATACAGAACTTTTTAAAAATATTATTTTCCATTGTGTTTATCATAGAATATTGAACATAGTACCCTGTGCCACACATTTTTTTTGGTGACTTTATCTGTGTAAATTCATTTAACGAGCCATGAATGAACACTCAATAAGTTCTAGAGTACCTGGGCCACCAGAATTCCGATAACGATGCCCAGCTGGTTGAGAGTACCAAAGGCGCCCCGCAGGGCAGTAGGGGAGATCTCTCCAATGTACATGGGCACGAATCCTGTGCAGAGTCCACAGAAGAGGCCGATAATCAGTCGACCCAAGATCAGCATTTCCACTGACTCTGCTATTTTGCAGAATCCCATAAGGCAGCCACCAGCTATGGCCAACAGGTTGACAATAAGCATTGAATTGCGCCTGGAAGATTAAACAAAGATCAGGGAAATTTGCAAAACAGTCCACCTCTCCCTTTCTTTCCTAGTCACTCTACCATTCTCCAGGCTCATATATCTTTTGGTCTAACGTTTCCACTTTCTAGTATCAGAATATATCTGATTGGGATAATCAGGATTAATGGTTCCTATACCTTGGCCTACATAAGTCTCACCAAGAGAACTTGTTGCAGATTTTCTCCTCTACATCCTAGCTATAGGGTAGGATTTTAGCAAGCACTTTAAGGCCATTTGTTCTCAAAGTTGTCCACAAACTAACAGCATCCATAAGCTAGAAATCTGCTAGAAATTAAAATTGTCACACTCCACCCCAGACTCATCATTAGGCTTGAATGTGGCTGGCAGGTGGGAGAGGGGGATGGAGACTGGTCTGTGGGATTGGTTTTCCCTTGATGGGAATGTGACATGCTTTCCATTCAAATGCACCATCACCTCCCTGCTCTAAGCCTCAATGCTTATCTTCAATGCAACCACCATAACCCCTTCCTTGCACAGTTTCTGGTCAGTACCTGCCAAATCGATTGACAAAGAGTCCGACGGAGAAGGAACCAATCATACCACCCACGGAGAAGATGGCCACGGACAACGACCACAGGGATGTGAGGAGCACGCTGGACGCGGGGGTTTCTGACCGCTCTTCCAAAGTGTAATTGAGAAAGTCTTTTATGATCTGCCAATTAAAATGGGTGGTGGGAGAAAAGATCATTAGAGTTGGATGAGAAAAGAGACAAACACTCAGGATCTTCCCCTCCCTAAGAGAACAGTGTTCCAGTTACTTTCTAGGTAGAGAGTTGAGGGAATAAATAGATGGCAATGGAAGAGACAGGTAACACTGGAGTTCATGTTACCAGATCTGAAAAGAATAACTTAGTTGTCCTGAAAATGCCAGTAGGTAGTAGTACTGATGTACTTCTGTTCAGGGATGACCTCACACTGCCCCCCTGCACCCCGACTTTGCAACTAACCTCTAGGGGACAATAAGGGAAATGTGTCACCAGAGGGTGAGAGGATGAACGGGCCCAGTCCAGGGTGCAGGGAGCGCCTGCCCTGAGCCTCTTGCTTTGATCAATGATTCAATTAGATCCCCACCAATATCATGCCCCATCTCAGTCTTAGCCAAGTGAGCTACCAAGTCTGTCTAAGCATGATAATTCTGGAAACCCTACCTAAACGAATACTTTCCCCACTCCAAACTCAAACTCTTGTTGCCTGGCACTCACCGCCTCAGGAGCATTAATGACTCCAGTGTTGTAGCCATACTGGAAAGAGCCTATGGTAGCAACTGAGATGGCGAAGATCAGAGGTGCGGTGACCTGGGGGAAGGGTAGAGAAGAACATTCCTTAAAAGTCTTGATCCATGACTGGCTCTTATTAAGGAGAACGCATCATGAAATTTTTGCACCTTGTTTTATGTCCCTGGATATGTTCCAGTGCCTCCCAGTTTATAGTCTCTGGGAACCTGAATTTGTATTCTGCTGCTGTCTGAAAATTATATAAATCTTAATTAGGTTGAATTGGTTCATAGTGCTTTTCAGGTCTACCACATTCTTCTACTTTTCTGTATATTCATTCTATTAATTTTTGAGTTTGACATTGAAAATTCCAACTAAAAATCTTGATATATCTACTTAAAAAATTGTAATATATAGTGGAACTATATGTAACTTTGTTCTGTATTTGCCAAGTCTCCTGTAAATGTGTTATTATACTTTCATAATTTAAAAAAGAGAAATACCATGAAGATAAAATTAAAGAAAATAAGAGCGATGTATGTACTAGAACTCAGCCGGTTGGTAGTGAATAAGGAACACAAAAGAACTGAAGAGCTTATACGGTGATATAATGAGCATGAAGACTATACCTAGGGAAATTCTGGCAAGAAAATTTGGGAAGGGACAAGTTAGGAGAAGTGTGGTTACTCCGTTTGGAAGTATTCTAACAGCTGCCCCAGGCAAGTCCCCAGGCAAGCACAGAATTGTGCCCAGGGATAGAAAAACCTGAGGGCAGAATGAAAAGCCTTAGGATTGCTGAGAACAGATTATTCTGTGAACAGCTAGAGCCAGTGTAGGCTCACCCCCACCCCAAATTCTACAAAGGCACGAGTGCTAGTGATGTGTCGTCATCACCAGGCCGCTCGCAACTCTGGGTCACAGAATCTTCAGGATCCATCCACCGTACCACCGTACCCTTGGTCCCATCTGAAATTCTTCCCGTTCTCTTGAAGAGGTACTGCTATCCCCCACCCGCCCACCAGGGGGAGAGAAAAAGCTGACTTCCAATCCAAAATGGAGACATTTTGTGAGGGGGCTGTGCTGAAATCAACCCAGTCATCACTCACCTTGTCGGGGATAATTCTAGTAGGTGTGATCTTAATTTCTACCCCAAGAGAACTCAATTTTTATGCCTGAGAGCTCCCCGCCCCCGAGAACCCTTTCTCATCTTAAACTCCTTCCCTTTCAAGTCAGGCAGTGGCAGGCCTGGAGTTAACAGTTCCCCAAATTGACCTTGCCTCCACCGGCATCTAAGTATCCCCGAGGCCCGCAGGGGCAGCGCTTTCTGCTTCATCCACTCCTTTTAGTAGAAACCTCTTATTTTCTCTCATCATTTATACTCCTTGAGGGCCTTCCCACTTTTTCATCCCTTCTCTCATCTTTTATTTTCAGATAAATTACCTTAGTGAAAATGCCTTTCTCCCTACAAATACCGCATCCACAACACACAATAATATATTAATATACTGTGCTTTCACAAGCATAGAATTCTCTCTTTTCAGGTAATTCAGGGAATCCCATAAGTCATAGAACAGATGATGGCTGGACACCGACCCGGCACCCCCAAAACACCCTCAGGTCTTTTCAAGGTCTAAAGCATCAACACCACCATACCGCCCCCGGTCCCCTGAACACTCAACTTCACATCCTCAAAAGCATGTAATTGTATTAAACACACACACACACACACACACACACACACACACTCACTCACGTGTGTTATACAAGCACAACTTCTCCAGGTGACTTTTCCCACCCCAAGAAGGTGAATGGAACTGGGATAAATCCTATATAGGACATGACATCCGAAAAGAACTGTGGAAGTGCGGCACTGCAGGCTGGGAGAGCAATGGGAAAGGCTTCCAGATTGCTAGGTGACTCCGCGTAACAGCTCAGCCAACGCCGGTACGGCTTGCCTTTCCGAGTGCATCCCAAGCCGGCAAAAACAGCCAGTAACCGTATCGCTCTTACCTTCGTGGTCCCCATGGCCCTAACTTAATTCTCTTCAATTCTTCGATAAAGATCTAGGAGTGGGACTCCAGAGACCCCTCTTCCAGGCGGCAAAACCTCCAAAATGTCCTCTCTCGGCAGCAAGTTTTCCTCCAGGTTCTCAGCAGCGAGCCTATAGCTCACGCGCCTATATAAGCTTCGGAGAGGGCGGAGCCCGGCAGACAAGCCCCCAGCCCCACCCTACCCGCCTCCAATCTTTGGAGCTCCTCAGACGAGTGGACCTCAAACACGGCCCCCTCCCTAGGCAACACCCCCAACCCCTTTTCGAAACCACATCCTGCCCCCACCCTACTCAATTTTTTTTAAGCTTCTCCTCCTTGTTTCACAGACAAAATGCTCCGAGAAACGCTTAGAGGGAGGGCAGATACACTTTATTTTTTGCTCTTGCAAGTGTTCAGAATTGATTCAATCTGTAAAAAGATGAGAATAAAGGCTATCCATATTTGGCAAAGGTCGTTGGATGTAAACAGAAGACATTCATAATCCTATGACTTTATCAGCTGCTCTTTGATTTCAGGCTGTGTCTACAGCCTTGGAGGGGAGGGAAGGACAGTCTGAGAGAAGGAAAGCCAAAGAAGGAAGAATTGGAAGAGGTTTTTGGCTCCACTTGTCCTCTGACTTAGCATAGTCTCTCCTGGGAGAAAACCTGAATATCTAGGAGCCAAACCAACTCTTCCTGGGTTCCAGGAAGCAGAGAATCAGCTGGCCTGGGACACAATCCAAACTCCTGTAAATGTCGTTCACCAGCTTCCCACCCAGCTGAATCCTACTCACTCTGCAGCGTTTTGCCCCTAGTCTCATGTTGACAGCATCTAGAGAGAGAACAATTGTAAGGTTCCATTAAATATGTATTTTATTTGCAGAGCACAAACTGTGTATCAGAAAGAAGTTGGGGATTCATCAGTAGAGAGGATCAAAAAGTCCAGGCCCTCAGGAATCAACGGTGCTCTCCCTCTTCCACTTAAAACATTCACGAGGGACCAGGGCAACTGCTTCTTATACAGCTGGAGAGAACAGCCAACGTCCTATTCCTTCTGGGCTATGAGCGAAAAGTGTGAGCTACACATCTGATTTCCAAGCCATACAAGAGAAGTGAGCCAAATGAGAAGGAAAAAGATAGAAGGAAAGTGAGAGCAGAGGAAGATGAAGGAAAATAAAAGGCCAGAGAAGTGGCTCCCACTTCAGTCTAGTTGTAGTTAAAAGAGTTGGGTGAGCAATTATATGAGGCCTTTAATGGTGGGAAATTATCAATAGTCAAGTTCCCAATGCCTATCAATCTGTAGCCTAGCAACCCCAGCAGGGGAAGAGGGGGTGGGGTGGCAGAAGCAGGTGAAGAGGTTGAATTTGGCTGGAGGAGTCACTGCTGATACTGCATCCTCCTTTGGGGTTTTGGTTGGGTGCCTGGAATCCAAACTGGTACTACTGGGCCTTAAACAAACCACATCATGTGGTCTGTCCTTAAATGAGGATTAAAAAAACAAACTGAAGCATAACTGACTGACATTTTTATATTAGTTTTAGGTGTACAACATACTGATTCGGTATTTATTATTATTTTGGGGGAGTAAAAGTTTTTTATGTTTTTTTTTTTTAACCTTTTTCTTCTATATTGGAGTATAGCTGATTAACAATGTTGTGATAGTTTCAGGTGGACAGAGAAGGGAACACAGTCACACACGATTTGATATTTATATACGTTACAAAATTATCACCACTAAATGAAGGTATTATTCAGTCTGGTTGTTAGTGGAGAAAACTGGCGATGAGTGAAACGTGACTTCCAAAAAAACCTTCCCATAAGTCCTCCCTCCCCTCCCCCGCGTCACCCCCCTGTATTCCAGGAAACCCTGAGCCAGGAGGCCCCTTTAGTTACCACAGCAACTGAGTTTAGCAGCCTAAGGACAAAGAATATCCTGTATGGCAGCACTGCCAGCAGAAATTCAATCTAACCCATTTATATAAGTTTTCTAAGTGACCATACTAAAATTTTTAAAAGAAAAACATTAGAAAGAAGAATTGATTTTCATAATTATTTTATTTGACCTGATAGCCAAAATAATACTATTTGAACAAATAATTTATGTATATATATATTAATACATATTAAGATAGTTTACTTTTTTCTTCCTAGTCAGTCTTTGAAATCCAGTGTATACATTTCGTTTACAACACATCTCCATCGTAGACTCTGTTTTCCACAGCTACAGTAATAAGTCGTTCTAATCAAAACAACAAAGCTGTGTTTGATGGGAAAATATTTTCAACTGCTTCAATTTTAAATGTACTAAAATGAGCAGTTCGGGTCCTCAGTCCCGCCAGCCTCGTAACGTGCTCATCGGCACCAAGAGGCTGCAGGCTGGACCCTGAAGGTTCACACAGGGATGTGCGTCTTTTTCTTCATTCTTTTTTAATCTTTGATTTTTATTTATTATTTGTGTCAGATTATCATTCTTTTTTTTTTTTTTTTTTGGTCGCACAGCTTGTGGGATCCTAGTTCTCTGACCAGCGATTGAACCCATACCTTCAGCAATGAAAGCGCGGAGTTCTAACCAGGGAATTCCCTCACCATGTCATTCTTGGCTGTAAATCACTTTGTCTTTTATTTCTCATTTTCCTTTGCTTTAGAATGATTTTTTCTTTACTGTTGCGCAAGAGAAAATGGCACCAGTGAAAGGAAAAAGGTCTTTCGGACCCCTTCATCCACTCAGAGCAGGCTGCAATGTGATTCCAGAAGATTTATTTTCCCCATATTTAATGAAAGGACAGATGAAGTCATTGTAAAGGCCTAGAATTATATCTGCCTGAAATGATTTGTGTAAAATCAGGGTAGTGAAACAATTCCCAGGGTCAAGCTTTAGATGTCTGAAATCTGTAGGTTTTTCCTTCTTGCTAGAAGAGGAGGGAGGATGAAAGGGAGGGAGATCTGAAACCTGCTTGCAGTGGCTAAACTCAAACTGCCTTTACGAAAGTGGCTAAGTGGCTGAGGGGGACAGAGAAAACTCTTTTTTTAAATGGTATTTTTAAACGGTAAA